TTGGGGTTCTGGTCCTGAGACAAGCACTGCTGGTCAACTCTGGGGTTCGATGAAAACCTTGTGGGCATGTGCCCAGGGCAGGGTGGGCCTGGGGGCTCATCTGCTCAGGACCGCTCTCTGAAGCCTGGGAAGCTGCCTGGGAGACACCCAGTGACTGTGCCAGGCACGGTCCTATGCCCTGTGCATACCTGCTGTGATGTGTGTGACCTCTGCCCCACTTGAGCTTGGACCAGATGACCAACCTGCTCCAGCTGTATCCAAGGACAGTCAACCACCCAGGTTTTTCTGCATTGTTTGTGCTCTTCAGCACCCACTGTGCTACAGACAGCTGCTCTGACCCCCAGTTAGGACCGTCCTGGCACAATGAGAACCCGAGGGTCACTGGGCAGAGTGGGGAGCATGGCAGAGCCCTGAGGTGGGAAGGAGAACAGGCCATTGTTGGAACAGAGAAAGTGCACAGAGGCCTTGAGAGTAGTGGGGCAAGTGCAGGTGGAGGGACCCGCGGGCTGGGGTGAAGACGCCCTCTGGCCTCCCACACGGAGGCCAGGCCAGGCATGGCTGCGAGAACCGAGCTGGAGAACCATGGCCCCTTCCACACTCTCCCGGCCCAGCGGGCAGAAGCAGCGCTGGAGGGCCAGGCGAGAGGTGGGCTGGACTCACTGCCACGGGCTCCTGCCCACCGTCCCCCTCCTGCACAAAGACTCTGCAGCTGGTGATTTCGGGCTGAAAACAATGTGGAGAATCTCCGGCCAGGACTGTGGAATGGACAGGATTCTATTTTTAAGCAGTGGGGATGAACAATGGAGCAACTGCAGCCCCTGTGGGTCTGTGGCCTGACCTCCTGTGCGACTCCAGAAAGCCTCAAAGCCAGACCCCGGAAGAGTCGGCAGAGGAAGGAGAGGATCAGACATCAAAGGGCATGGAGCCAACTGCTTCCTCTGGGTACGACCCCCTTCATCAGAAGGCAGCCAGCAAGCCCCCGTCTGTCCATGGTGCGCGCCAACACGGGCTGAACAGACCCAGGCTCTGCACCCCATCCCGCCCCGCGCGGCCCTGGGGCTGCAGTCACACAGATGACGACCGCATGGGGGGGAGCCCGCAGAACGGGGGTGAGTGACCACACAATGGAGGAAGGGTTGCCTGGCACACACCCAAGGTCGGCTCATAACCCTGGGGGCAGACAGGGGGGCCTGAGGAGGGGCTCGGCAGTGTCCCTGGCACAAGTGGGCAGGGGTTTCTTCTGAAATGAATGACTGTCTTAGGGGAGAAAACCCACACGAGCCCACGGCAGATGGCCTGGGCCTAGCAAGGGCAGGGGATGTGGTATGGGGCACGGCAAGTGGCACAGCCCAGTTCCCCTGTGGCTTCACCACTACCTGGTGTGAGACTCAGCAAATGGCTTCCGATCTTGGCCTCACGTTCTCATCTGGAAGACATGGGTCACGGCATCCAGACTGTAGGCTAAGTGTGAATGAAATGTCTGCAGCGCACTCAAGATAGACAACAGCTGGCACACAGTAAGCACTCAGTAGATGATCACAGGAATGTGTGTTCCAAATACAACCTGCAGACATAAGCTGTGCTTCTGTCCGGCAACAGCAATGACGGAGCAGGGCGAGCCCCAAGGAATGGGGCTCCGGCAGAGATTTCACGGTCAGCAAGGTTTGGGAAACGGCAGACAATTTCATCTTAGTGACTTACAAAGCAAATATGCATATTAAGGCTTAAAAGAGTCCTTTGATTTAAAAATCTGTTAAATTTTGTTCTGTCTGTTTATTTCCACAATTTATTTGACCGTGGAGCCCTTTTTGTTTTGGTTTAACAGGAACTTCCCATAGGAAACGTCCTGAAGACAGCACAAGTTCGGGGGCTCAATCTACCTGTCCAACTGCCCCTTTCCACACAAGTGCTGCAGGAGCAGGCAAATCAGGGGAAACAAGCGGAAGAGGAGAGACAATGCCAGGCCGCCCGGGGCCAGGAACACACCTGCCCTGCTTCCCGCCCCAGAAAGATCAGGTGTTCAGAGCCAGCAAACGCTCAGAGGCACTGGCCAGGTGTTCAGTGAGAAGGGAAGCAGAAGCCCACGAGCTGCCCGCGGTGGAAAGAGAAAGAAGAGACCGAGAGGGCCCAGCGCTGGGGGCCTCGGCTCCTCCCCCTCCTCCTGGCCTGCTTGGACACCAGGTCCGGTGGCCTCGCTGGATGAGGTCAAGACGATGCTCCTCCCATTGGTTATCAGGAGAGCTGACAGAGGAGGCGCTCTGAAGCTGAGTTTGGGGGAGCCGGCCACCCACCTGTGCTTTCACAGGATTTTTTTGAGCTGGTGTCTGAAGAGCAGTGGTGTTTCTCAATGATAATTTCAAAAAGATCCCTTACCCTAGATTAATGGCAATAAGCGCCTGTCCATGGAAATTAGGTTCTCTTTCAGATGTTCTCTGGGGGGAAAATACTTAGTTGCTGTGGTTAGTTAAAGAACTCCTCAAAATGCAGCCCACTGACCACCTGCCTCAGAACCTCTTGGGATGCTTGTCACAAACACAGGCAAGGGCCCAACCCAGCTCTGCTGAGCCAGGATTGCCCATGAAAACCGGGCACTCCTGCATTAGAAGCCATTGCAGGAACGTGGGCCTGTTTGTAAGGCGCTAGACAGCCAGTGAAAGACAGCCCCACCTCAAACCAGAGCAGGTCACCAAGGGGGGACTCTCTTTAGAATTGGAAGCAGGGCAAGGTCCTGTAAAGTGAGAGCAGGCCCCAAATTTGTGCTGGGCGCTCTACAATACCACCTTGTTTAACCCTCACACCCACCCGGCCAGATGGGAATCCTAACCTCCACTCTACCACGGTGGGCAGAGTCCTCACGACACGGAGAGGACGAGAGCCTCGTCCCAGTGACAGAGGTCACTGCGAGGGCAGGGTCAGGAGAGCCTGCACAGCCCGCGCCCCTTCCGGAGTGCCGGAGAGCTGACCCGGGTGCTTCTCTGGAGGTTGCCTGAAACAGAAAGCAAGGTGGAAGGCGTGCACCAGGAGCTCACGGCGACACCAGTGCAGGTATCAGAGGGGTCCGCAGCCGTGCTGATACACAAGGGGACTTGTATGCTTGCCCCTAGCGTCACTGGGGTTCTTCCTGTCCCTGCGAAACCCAACTCATGGCCTCTAACGCTGTGTTGCCATCTGAAGCACCAATCACGAATATAAGACACTTCTGTCTGGAAAAGCCAAGCAAACAACGACCTAGCTCATTCAACTGTTGTTCCCCTTTTCCTTCCTGCCTTTCCAGAGTCACATGAGCAGAATACCAATTGAGCCATCGGTGGGTGCCCACCTGCCCACCACAGCTGCCTGCTAGGCCAGAGCTGCTGTGGGCCCCTTCCCGGCCTGGCCAGCACTCGTGGTACCTCCTTTTCGCAGGGCGGTCCCTATACTCTCCCCCCATCTCTGCTCGCCCCTAGTGGCTGAGTGCCCACCGTGCTCCCCCTGTGCAGGCTGGAGGCACTGTGCATCCCCATCCAACATCTGAGAACTTGGCTTCAGGGCATGTACACTGGTAGTGCTGTGAGTTGACCCCTGCCACCTACCAGTGTAACCAGCCCAAACAAGGAACTCCGAGGGGCTCGCGGACAGCAGCACATTCCCCGGTGCTGCCGCCCTACAGTGAGTGGTGGGGTGTTATCTGGTCGAGCACAGCTGATACAATGGCTTACGGAAAGATGTCACATGCCACCTCAAGGGATGATTAATGCAGAGAATTTGAGGTCAACGGCTTAGGCCAAACCAGCTTCTATTTATAAAAAAAGAGCCTCTGGAGAAAATAGCAGGGCAGGAGCCTGGCTCCGCCTGGGTGCCACTGGGCCGGATGTCGTGCCAAGGCAGCATCAGCCCTGTCACCTGGCCCTTGCTACTCCCTTTAAAGCAAGGCCCTCCACCGTGAGCTTTTCCCATCAAAGTTGAGTTCCTCTGCCTCAAGAGTGCCACTGTGTACAAACCCAGGGCACGTGTGGGACAAACAAGCCCCGTGCGTGGCCGTGTGGGTGTCTTGGGGACGGTTCCCTGCTCCGCGGCTGAGGGGCCTCCTGTAAGAACAGGTAGACAGGTTCTTCAATTCCACAATGACCCAAACGGCACACGCTGAATCACAGGGCCGCTGCGCCTTGGTCGGTGGCGGGCTGGACAGATGCTCCTTTTCTCATAGGCTGTACAGACAGCAGGGTAAGGCACCCAGGACGCTCTCACTCTGGGGGGGCTCCCAGAACCCAGCAGTGCTGTACTACAAGATTCGTCTTCCCCCGAAGGGAAGAAACCACTGACCTCAACGCCCAAGGACGTCCAGGCCCAATTTACTGACTCAGAATCTGCAGGATTGAGGCCTGTGACTTGGTGCTTTGCACTGAGCTCCCAGAAAAGTCTGCAGCACCGGCAGATGGGGACCAGCAGGGCACGGGTGGCACCGCGGACCTGGCTGAGGTTGAACCTCCCCAGCCAGCTAACAGATCCAGCAAGACTGCACTGGCTGTCACGTGATGAATTAACTCACATGGAAAACTGTCATTAAAACATTTTAAAGTACAAATTTCCAAAAAGGAAAACTCTTAACAATTGCCCCTTTCCAGCCCTCCCCAGCTATGACCCAGCCAAAGCGCTGTGACGCCTGGGCCTGAGAGACAGCGTGCCCTTACTCTCACTTCGGATGCCCCTCAGCCCTGCCTTGTCAGCATCTGCACAGCCTCAGAAGCACGTACGCCCAGCCTGAAGACTGCCGTTAGGGCACTCCGGTGAGGCTGGAGCCGGGGACCTGGGCTGCCATTAGGGCACACATGGCTGCGGCCGTCGGCAGGGGGCCTCTCCTCCACTCCTGCGGCTCCCTTTGCTCACTGCTGTGCTGCCCTGGTTGGTTGGCACCACCCTTGAGGACATAGCTGCTGGATAGCTGTGCAGGTTTCTCAGAGCCACAGAAATGAGGAAACCTCTCTTCTAGGCTGTGGCCTGAAAAAACCCCCATAACATGCTGTACACAGACCAAACACTTTAATGGGGAAGCAGAGGGCGCAGACGCCAATCAATACGGAAGAGAAAACAAAACAAGCAACCGAGCATCTCTAGAGTTTTGGTTTCTGCTATTTTTTTTCGGGGTTTCAATGAGAATGTCCATTGGAAGGGCTGCTCCAGTGTTTCTCCGTGAAGAGGAGCTGAGGACGCAGTTGGTCACACGAACAAAAGGAACACCGACACCCACTCAGCTTCTCCAGCCACCAAAGCCCTGCACAGACCTGTAAGGAAGCGCCGGGAGAAACGCAGGTCAGCTCCCGCTCTGGCTGAACAAGGGCTTCGGGCTCATGCAACCGCCTGTGTTCAAGTTCAAGACTGAATTCTTAACGTCATGCAATTCTACACAGAAGCAGAGAGTGAGGATCAAAAAGGAAGACTTGGCAATGGGCCTGGAGCCCAGCAGTCGGCACAAAGCTTCTCAGACACTAACAGGGAGACAGGGAAAGGCATCTCTCGAGTCCTGCCTTCCAGCCTTTGCTCATCAGAACGCAAATTCTTCTCTCTCATGCATGGCCCTTGAGCAGGCTAGGTCTGGGACCTCCTCCCAGGTTCCTACCGAGACCAGCAAGTTCACAAAACCCCAAACCTGTTGCTGAACCCTCATGCTTCCAGAACAAGCTTTTAAAACAGGAAAAATGGAAACAAAATGTAAACAGATCAAAAATTAGTGTCTAGTACTTTCGCATACCACACACTCTTCCATCCTTCTTTGATGACTCAAAACTAGAGGTAGCTACTTACGAGCTAGACGAGCCAAAGGTGAATCCTGAAAAAGATGAAAACGAATGAGGTCAGAACCCACAAAGCCTTGGAAGACAAAGGTGGGCTCTGAGCCGAATTCCTTCCTTTATTCCCTGCGGAATGCCTTCCTGGCCCTCAAGTCTGCGGGCCAGGCAGGAAGGGGAGTTGTTTTCTCAGTATTTCAGGGTCCTTCCTTTGTGCCCCACTGCTGCAGGCGGCGGGGGCTCGGCCCGGCCCCTCTCATCGGCTGCACTGTGCCACACTCATCTCTTTCCTTAGAAAACCAGGCTCTTTGTGCTTTTCTCATCTGCTCGCTTCCTCTTCTCGAGGCCAGAGAAGCACGGCACTCGGGTTCTAGGCCTGGTCCTGCTGCTCACTGTGTGGCCCTTCAGGCAGATTCATATTGGTCTCCTGGAGATTTTATCTTTGTTTATGAAACAATGCTGCTTAACTTCTGTGCCTCATAAATGTGATGTGAGATAAAGACAGAACATACACGTTCCACCACCTGAAGACACAGAGTGTTAAACAAACGATACACGTTTCGTGAAGTCTCTACATCTTGAGCCTGACGGCTTGGAATTTTAACCAAGGTTTAGTAAGAAGGTTAATATTTTGGGTTCTCAAATCTTGAGAGAAAATCAAGTCAGCCATTTCTTTATTTGGTAAGAAATGGCAGGATGTTACAAATCTAATTAAAACCTAAAAAGAACATTGTGTCTTTCAACTGCTCTCAGCTTTTAAAATACTAAACTGAACAGCCAGGTAAAAACCGTCTCTTATTTGGGGGCATGTATGCATTTACCAAGGACAAGGCCGGAGGGGCCGGAGACAGGGAAGGAGTCAGGCTGCTCACCTCCGCCACCTGAACCGAAGCCAGAGAATCCGCTGCTCTGGGCCCCGAAACCAGACGTCTGTTGGGACAGTGACCCGAAAGTTGGGGCGTTCTGACTGGCGAGGGTGCCGAATGACGAGGTGCTGCTGCTCCCAAACCTGGGTCCAGAGGGAAAGCACACAGGGTCAGCATGGCCGCCGCGCTCTGCTGCCTCAGTCCGCCGTGCAAACCGCAGCCCACACCACATGCACGAATCGAGGTGAGGTGCGTGGCTGGAAGTAGCAGCCTCTCAGAAGTCATCAGCCAGAGCCCCGGGCAGACCTCACTGCAGCCTCGGCAAGGAACGTAACGGGCACAACATGGAAGCCGACTTGCCCCGTGTCTGGGCGTCCGCCCGGCGTCTGACAGGGGTCGGAGCAGCGCGTCTTCTGCTCTAGCTGCAGCAGTCCTTCAGGTTTCAGCCCATCATTTGGGCATCCCTCACTTGCCGACGATCTCCCACCCCCGTTTCCGTATCTGCAGCTCCTCTCTGGATCTGGTTCTGTTTACTCCCCAGGGGAGGTAAGCTGCCTTCTAGGGCAGATGCCCGGGGCCTGCTCTCGCATGCTGCTGCCCCGGGGCAGCCCTCCTGGCCCTGCGCCACTCCTACCCCTGCCTCAGGCCTCTGACAAACGGCAGCGGAACTCCTCAGACGCCTGCTGGGCTCAGGGACCGGGCCTTGTGGAAGGGAGGCGGGCTCTTGGAGATCTCACACCAGAGCTGGTAACTGTTGGCCTTGTTTGACTAACTGGCCAGTCGGGATTTATGTGGGAGAGTCCCTTTACCCCCAGGAAGAATATCATACTTCTCTATTAGTAAAGAAAATAGCTGGTTTCAAATAAATAAATAAAACCTCAAGATTCCCAGTCAACCAAAAGCCTGCAAATACTATGTGATGGGAGATGGGTGTCCCTCAGAACCTGCCAAGAATACTGGTTTAAGTTGGTCCCAACTCTCCTTTAAAAGCTCTCTTTAAGTTTAGGTCTTGGGGGTTCCTGGGAGAAACTTAAAGGACCCATTAGTGTCTCCATGAAATCCAAGAAGCAAATACATCAACTTGCTCACTTTCCTTGAAATCTGCCAGCATTTCTGCACCAGCATCTTTCATTGGGCAGAAAGGGTATGAATAAGAGCAGACTTCAGTTCACTTCCAAGATGAAGATGCCCTCACCTCGCCAAGACTTGACCCAAGTACCTCGCTGATTCCCTACAACCAAGCCCCCGCCCCCACCCCCAAGCCTTTAGTGTCATGTGTTCTGAGTCCTGAGCCCAGTGCCAGGGCGGGACCTATCAGACATTAATTTCAGACACTAATACCTCTACTGAACAAGACACTCTGTAGTCATCGCCACATATATTTTATAAGGACTTTGTGGTATGGTGAAGGCTATTTTCTCCTTGGGGTTTTGGCAATTAGACTGAAGTTCTGGGGCCTTTAAAAGCAAATCCCTAATATAGCATTTTCAGTGAGGATGTGCACAAGGCAGGAAGTGCAGCTCTGCAAGCTGGGCCGCCACCGAGACTCTGAAACATGGGGGCCTGGTTAGTGCTTCGTGTGGAAGCTGGCCCACAGGACTGTGAACTGAACACCCGCTCTGAGGGGCCGGGGTGGAGCGGGACACAAGGAGTTGCTCACTCATGGACGATGGGTCAACCATACAACAGTCCCAAGGAGAAAGAATCTGTTGCAAACTATTCACTCAGAATTCCCATAAGTCACCACACCCAGGGCAGCCCTGACTCTCAAGGAGCCAAAGCACAACCATTTTCCTCCTCTCACCAACCCTTTAGCTCCTCTGGGAGAACAGGGGGTTGGCAACCCGGACTCTACAAGCATGGACAGCAACACAGCTGATGTCCACCGTGTACTCGGCAGAGCCTGCCTTGAAAGAAACGAGCCCTCCCCAAGGGGAACAGGAACCCTGGAGCGTGAGGGAGGCCTTCAGACCAGTCCAGAGCAGGGAAAATGTAAGGATTTTCTGTCCGAAGCCAGAGTCTGGGGCCCCTGGGCCTGGTCCCCCACAGGCCGCCCCGGGGGCTTACCCGAATCCTCCTGCGCTGGCCGCCGCAGTGCCCTCTCCGAACACTTTGCCTCCCGTCGAGCCCAGAGGGCTTGTAAAGGCTGGGGCTGAACCGAATGCTGGCACCCCTCCAAACCCAGGGGATCCCCCAAAAGTAGGAGGGCTGCCAAACACTGGAGCAGCACCGAAGCCACCTGAGCAAAACAGAGGCAAACAAACAGAAATGGGGGAAAGGAAAAGAGAGACGGGAGAGAAGACATTGAGTAGTGAGAAACCAAATGGAAAGTAGGAACAAATTAAAAATATGTTAGAAATTCAAGTCCAGAAAACTCTAACAAGGGGCAACACCTTTTCTCTATCAGTAAAATAATAATTAAAATCCAAACCAAACCAAATCATGCCCCCACCATTTCTATCAGGGGGGTCTGGGGTCCACTCGGGACAGCTCCTTGGAACTATAAGAGTCCAGCAGACCCCACGTCTGTGCAAAATCCTCGATGCCTCCCAGAGGCAAGTGGGACTTGTCAGATCTGAGGTCGTGAAAACACATCACCACCGAGAGGCTCGCGGGTGTTTCAGCCCCGCCCCAGCCCCTCTGTGCTGTTCTGAGGTCCTCACTGGACATGCATTCCCAAATGCTCCAGCCCCTCCCCAGCTGTCCAGACGACAGACCCCATCATGCACTGCCGCGTGGGCGGGGCGTCTAGCTTCACGGGAGCCCACGTTACAGAACCAGAGGCTCACAGGCCCCTCGGGAGACCCTGGGCCGGGTCACAGGAGGGGTGAAGGCACACACGGTGCAGATGTCCAGCCAGGTGCTTTTTATTTATTTAAAGCCTGTGGCTCTCACATCGCCCACCACGGTCTCTCTTTGTACAGAACAACTTTTTTTAAATGCTTTCTTTCTGTAGTCAGACCTACTCCTCAGTAAAAAAGCACACCGAACTTCTTCTCTGGAGGAAGGCTGCCATACAGATGTGATCAAACAACCCAACAGCCCTGAGGAGAGCCAGCCTGCTGCTCCAGGGCCCGCAGGCTGGCAGGGGCGGCTCACGTAGGTGATTGCCCAGAACCAGGCCAGGCTGCGGAGGCAGCCTCCTCCAATCGGTGGAGACGTCCATCAGGTGGGAAGACGGAGCACCCTTCCCTGTCTGCACGGAGGCTGCCCAAACTCCAAGACACCACTTAAGTCATTCTTGGCTATCAGCAGAGACCCCAGTGAGTCTCTCTCTTAAATGGAATGGAAGAAAATGGTGTAAGAAATGTGCTTTAAAAGGGAATATTTCTTAAAATGAGGCCTAGGAGCTACATGCTAAAGTGAATAAAGGCAGCCCAAGTGCAAGCAAAGAGGCGATTAGGCTAATGAGACAGGGCCATTCTTCCCGCCCCTTTTGGAAAGTGAATCCTGTTGTTAGAGATGAATCAGGCCTTTTTATTATAAGCATAATCACACCATGAGCTTCTGCTACTTGAAGCAGGAAAGATCAAATTCTAGATATGAAAAACAGTTTAGTTGACTGTTATTTTGTGATTCAATCATGTGCTTATTCACCTTGATAGTGACTGTACACCTGACAAGATACTTTCTGCTAAGGCTCATGTTTGGGTTAACATTCTAGATTTTAAAACTTTGAGTGAAATTCCAAGCCATGACAATGGAGACTGTTGGGTTTCAAATATAAGAGACTGGAAAAAAAAAAGTGCTAAAAAACCCTTGCAGTTGAATTATTTAAGACTGATCACGGATCGAGTTACACTTTCTTCCTGGACACACAGGCCTTTACCTGGTGCCTTGTACTCAGTATTATTCAGACATCATGGTAGAAGGTGTGTGAAAAATGAGAAGTCACAGTGATCCAGAGAGCAAACTGGTCAGGGGAGGGGAGGAGACCGGACACACACCTACTGTGCTCTGAGACGACAAACCGGGGTCACAGCTAAATGGAATAGGGAGAGAATGGTTATTCTGGTATTATTTCTGGAGACGGGCAACTCACTCCTGATGCTGGGAGGGGTTTGATTTTATTAGATGCTGTATTTTCATGATTTTGTTCTCCAGATGAAGCAGAAATTTACATATAGTCAAGGATAAGACATCTGGCTCCCTGGGCTCCCTGAATGGCCAGGTGTGATACAACAGTTTGATTTAATCCTTACCTGGGGGGCCTACTTCACAGGTGGGAAAACTGAGGCTCAGAGAACATGTCACCTAAGACGAACTGGCCGGTAAATGGGAGAGCTGGGGCAGGGACAGAGCAAGGTCTGATGACTCAAAAGCCCAGACAGCGTGTCACCATGTGAGTCACACTGCTTCCCTCCACTGCTGGCAGCTTCAGCAACAGAGCAGTGGGGAGAACCAATGCACGGGGGGGCCGCCAAGTCATTTTCAGTGTGTTCCGTCTCTTCCCCCCTCCAGTCATGTCCAGCAGTGTCATTCTCTAATGCAACTGAAGGCACGATGGGCACTTCCGGTGTTTTCCGAAGACCCATCCAAACCATCCGTCTAAAATCCCTCTTACGGTGAACAGTGGTAAGTCTGATGCGCAGGCACCCGTACTGCCGTGGCAGGAAGGCTCACCCCTTAAAGCAACCTTTCCTTATGCTCAGTCCTTGAAGGCACCTCTTTTTTTTTTTTTTTTAAATTGAAGTACCATTGATATATATAACCTCATGATGGTTTCACAGAAACAGCACAGTGGTGTCAACATTCACCCATGGTATCACGTCCTCACCCCCTCCACCACAGTCACTGTCTATCAACGTGGTAAGATGTTACAGGGTTATTAATTGTCTTCTTGTGCTACACCAGGAGGCACCTCTTTTTATAGACGGGGCTCTTTTGAGAACTGCTATGAATTCTGCAGCAAAGTTCTAGAAGCACAAGGGCGAACAGTCTCCTCCACCCTGTTACCTTTTTGCTAACTAGGTTCGTTCACTGCATGAATCTGAAAGGTAGCGTTCTCTCTCCCTGAGGAGTCTGTAATCTAGGTGGTTTCACAGGGCAAGTTATCAAATGGGAACATATCCTGAAAGGTGGGAGGATACATTTTCTCTCAGACTAGAAAAATTAAAGCATGATCAACTGGGACCTGATCCCAGGATAAGGAACAACATAAAAGAAAAGCACATGAGTCAGAGAAAACATGAACAGGTTCAAAAAAAAAAAAAAGAATTAAATGTTGAGGATTAATGAATGAAAATTTCTTCAGTAAGATTTGGCTCACTAACGAGGCCTCTCCTTTTAAATCATTCACGGCAGGGAAGCATGGGGGCAAGATAAAGCTTCACTGCCCATTTCCAACCCTCTTCAAATTCCAGGAAAGAAGTATCAGAAACTGGCAACCACAGACTAACCACCCGAGACCCAGGTGTGGGGGAAAGTGCACAGTGCATCTAGGAACTACGGCAACCCAGGCTTGGAAAGGTGGAAGCCAGGCACTCATCTGGGGAGAGCCTGAACCACGGCCACCTGAGCGTCTGGTCCTCCAGAAGGCCTCTTCCCCCAGAGATTTGCATAATTTCAGGCTCCCATACACGCAGGGACAAGCATCCTGCCCGCTAACGCAGGGACAAGCATCCTGCCCGCTAACCCAGCGGGTCTACTTTAAAGAACTGTTTTCTCAGAAACATCCTCCCCTCTGCCTCCTGCCTGGAAAAAAAATCTCACACCATTTTCCACACAACAGAGGCAGGAATGCAGACCCCCTTTAGATGGAGACTGCAGAATGCAGGATGCAGAGGCAGCAGACAGAAATGAAGCAGGTTTTCATATCTAAACATATATTGGTCTTTAAAATTTTTAATTATAAATGTATACATGATTATAAGAAGTCACACAGTTTATAAGTGATACTTTAAAAACAATGCTGGGGGAAAAAAGGAATGCTGGCAATATTCTGGGTATATTCCAACTGTGAAAATTAATTGAGCTGTGTACTGGTGATATGTGGATGTTGTACATGTGTATGTAATATATTTATGTATGTCATACTCAATTAAAAGTAAAAAAAAAAAGAAGTGGAAAGAGGGCAAAATGATAAGAAATTAAACAGATAATCTGTCTTGCCCGTGACAGGTAATGGGTACCCAAGCAAATCTGAGCCTCAGGGTGCTTTCTTGGTTGTGTTGTATTTAACAATTTCTTATATGTTCCCTTACTTTGGTTTTGCAATTGCTAAATATTTACAATGTTTTCTTCGCTAAGAAGACACTAAGTTCTCTAATGGTTGCATTACATGCACTCCGTGCTTTTACATGTCTAAGACCTAGAACAGTGTTAGGAACATGGTAGATGTGCAGAAAGTATGAAAATGAACTGGGGGGGCGTCACTTCGTCCACACTACAATCCTACTCCCTTGAGAACCAACATAGAGAGATACCCCTCTAGCTATCTATGCCAACATACGTATAAAAATAACCCCAGCTAGTAAGCACAGGAGTACCTGTTTTATTTGGAGTGGAGAACCCGAAGCCTTGGGAGGCCACACTTCCTCCTCCAGAGCTAAAAGTGCCAGCAGGCTTCTGCTCTCCAAATGATGAGCTGGCAAATCCACCGAACGTCTTGGCCCCACTGTTCCCGAATAGGCTGGAGGTGTCTGAGGAGATGAAGCACATGTACGAGGGAGATCAGAGAGAGAACGATGCCTGTACCTGAGAGAAGGAAGAAACCTCATGGGCGTGTGGGGCGAAGGGAGTAACAGA